ACACACACACACACACACACACACACACACACACACACACACACACACACACACACACACCCATCCTTCTGGTCTGACACTGGGAACCAACCGGACTCAGATCTGTAAAGAGAGTGGAGCAAAAACCTCAGAACTGGACCTGTTGCTCAAAGTTCTTTAACTCAGGAGGAATATGTGATATTTGAGGGTTCTCTTTCGAATTAATTCACAAAATTGTTTAAAAATCTGTTTTTACTTTGTTGTTACAGGCGACTGAGTGCAGATTTGTGAGAAATAATATACCTGTATAACTATAGCTTCAATTTGCAATAAAAAGTGGGGAAAATATTTTAAATGCTTCCTGTCAGCAGGATTAAAACTCTGACGTCTGCAGGCTTTGTCAGCTCTGATGGATGTAATCATTTCAACAGACAGGATCTTTTAAACCCAACGAGTCAGAACCTTCAGAGAGGAGAACGGAGGTTCRGGTTCACTGACTTAACCTGTGGCTGCAGGTATACACTCCTCGTGTTCCACTTCAACAACTTCTGACAGATCTGTGCGCTGAGACGGATGGTCCTGTTTAACACACACACACACACACACACACACACACACACACACGAAGGGATCTGCGTCCTTCACCTGGAAACCTTGAGCTCCCACACAACATGGAGGATGAGAGAACAGGTCAGACTCGCTGCCTCAGATCTGTTTCTGAAACCATCACTTGTTTTGCTGACGATCCAACATCAAGACAAACCCATGCAGCTCTCAGATGTTGATTTTCCCTTTGTTTTTTTTACAGAAATCAAAGTAGAGATGAGAGAATACTTCATCTGATCAGTTCATCATCTGAAGTCTTTAAAGTGCTTTTTAAATTTTTAATAACTGGTTGGTTTTAATCTTCCTGCGCTGATATTTGGAGTCGGAGCCYGCAGTGAAAGTATTAATCATGCAGAGGGATGAAAGTGTCTCTCATGTCCTCATCTCTCTGGAAAAGTCTGCTTTTAAAAGCTTTAAAAAAATCCTCCTGAAACAGAAGCTGACAGTTTCTCAGTGTTAACTCAATCTCACATTTCCCCTGAGAAGGAGATAAAAATACCCCCCCTGTCCTCTGCTCTCCTCTCTTCCATCTCAGCTGTAAGATTTAACAGGAAGCAGGTAGTTCTGATTGGACTTTCAGCTGATTTCTKTCTTGTTCTTTTCTCCGCAGTATGAATTCAAGCTGAAAAACATCAAGAAAAAGAAGGTGAACATTCTGGTTTCCACCGATTGTGTCAAAGTGCTGCTGCGCAAAAAGAAGAAGGTACGTTTGTTTTTCCCCAAAGGTGGGCGATCGTGGGACTCTCTGGTGCCTACTGAATGAAATCAGTATTCAGAAACTCCATCTGTGTTTATACATATGACATTAACAACTTCTGTGACGATATGAAAGATTTTAGGTGTAAAATAATAAAAAAACAAAATCTGAAGCACTAAATAAACAATTTATAAATCACTTTTCACCAATCCTCCAATCAAAAAACAGCGTCTCTTCTTTTTCAGCCTCAGACACTCGTATCAGAAGATGAATGTTAATCATCACATCAAACTGAGGATCACATCTGGTCAAAATGACCTCAGCACATTTTCAGATTCCTGCTTTTTAAGCTACATTTTGATCCCCGGATCATCCTGAGATCATGAGCAGTTCCATGGATAAGCCTTGACTCAGGAATGGGYAACTGGTGGCCTGTGGGCCACATCTGGCCCACTTGACTTCCATCCAGACTGCCAACGTTGTTGTTTTTTTTAACTTAAAAAAGCAGGCAAATCAGCTCTTTGATTAATTTTTGATAATGACAAATGTATAAAACACATCCCTCAAACTCAGTCTGCAAGTGACTCCCACCTACACCCCCCCCCCCACGAAAAAAAAATCTAAAAACACATTTTTTTGTACAATTTTTTAAAAAAGAAAAAAAAGGGTTTTTTTGTTTGTTTACTTAATATGAAATTTGTTTCTTATATCAATGGTAAACTTTAAATTTATGATTAAATGCAACAAGATAAATTTGAAAGGTGAAAGATAATAATAATAATTGTCCTGCCCCTGAGCTGTTGGCTTTGAGTAACTGAGCAATTTAGTATTAAAGGGATCCCCGATTAGTTGTAACATTCGACTTTATTTAATAAACATGYATTTTAACTGTAAAATAAAGGCTGTAAAAATACTGTAGGATGTTTAGTTTTTATAATCTTTAAACTGAAAGTTTCAAAATATAGTACACGGACTGGGCTATTTTATTTGCATGCAAAGCATTCTGGGTAAATGATGACGTGGGTAGGTCCTCGGTGTGAGCGAGCTATATCCACCCTGAAGGTTAATCTTGGACAATATCTGATGATCGACTCTTTTAAATGAAACCAGRGAGCGTTGACAGAGAGGAGAAGGTAGAAATGACTCAGCCTGGAACTGAAAATATAGATGGAGGACCTCAGTTTAGCTTGTTTGTCGCGGTAGCACCGAGCTAATACATATAAGGCAGTATAGCGTTGGCGCTAGCACAAAGGCTAACTGGCTAAGCTGAGTTTCTTCTTCCATGAAGCAGCTCTGTTGTCCTCCATCCATATTTTCAGTTCCAGGCTGAGTCATTTCTACCTTCTCCTCTCTGTCAACGCTCTCTGGTTTCATTTAAAAGAGTCGATCATCAGATATTGTCCAAGATTAAACTTCAGGGTGGATATAGCTCGCTAGTAGCCTCGCACCAATGACCTAGTTGATGTCATCATTTACCCAGAATGCTTTGTGTGTAAATAAAATGGCCCCGTATGTGTTAAAATATATTTTTAAAAATGTACAAAACTAAACAGCCTACAGTATTTTTACAGTCTTTATTTTACAGTTAAAATATATGTTTATCAAATAAAGTCTAATGTTACAACTAATCGCGATCCCTTTAATGTCTCATAATAAGCTGCATTAAAGTCAGCATCAACCAGAAACTACATCTCCCATAATGCCTGTTGATCATCCATGAGAATTCCTTGTCAGAAAGTGAGAGTTCAGGATTCAAGATGGCAGCTGCTCACTAGAACCTCATCAGTGAGTCAAACTTTATTAGTTTTTCGTTTAATTATATTTCCATGTTATTTATTTCTGATTTAGTCAGTCGTACACTTAGTTCTTATCAGTCTTTAAAACAGGACATGTTAAAACACTGTTTAGTCAAAGTTAAACATAAAATGTCACAGTTAACCACAGCTGGCCCTTTGAGAGYCACTCATGTGGCCCTTGGTGAAAATGAGTTTGACACCCCTGGTGGAAAAGTTCTTTTTGTTGACAGTTTGTCAGAAGATGGCACCTCCAACACAGATACCACGTAGTGCCCTCGTCTTCTCTACCAGTGAGGAAGAGACATTTAGCCATGGCTAAGAACAGAGGAAAGATAAAATCTCATGTTTCAGGTGAAACGGGAGGTGGAAATTTCACAGAATGTTCACAGAATTTCAAGACAAACCTTAGTCAGCTTAGAGACGCTGTCTGCCATAACATATTTAACATAAGTCACCACTACAACATGTTACACAAAGTAAATATAAGACAAGTAACTAAACAACAGACTTTTTACCAGAACCACACAGGAGTSTGATCAGCTCGCTGTTTCAGACACCTCATTTAAAACGTCCATAAATAAGTTATTTATTTATTATATGTATTTTGACAAAGTGCCGTTGTTGCAAACATTTTAATCAGCTGTTTTCTCTTCACACCACTTCTGGATTTAATCCTCTGTTCAATGTGCTGGCTCACATTGATGAAGTCCAACAAYCAAATTTTGACCTGTTAGTATGAAAACCTTCAGCCTTTTAGTTCACCCACAGCTGTTTGTCTATCTGTTAGCAAAACATCCTCCCAACAAATATGTTTCATGGTTGGTGTCTGATTCTGACTGTTTTTATGCTGCTGCAGAGAAAAGGCTGGTCCTGGGACGAGAACTCTGTCTTGGTGACACAAGATCCCATCTACAGGTGGGCTTTAAATGTAGTTTTTATTTATCAAACAGATTCTTCATGTGTCCTTCTGTCTCTGCAGGATCTTTTACGTCTCACATGACGCTCAGGACCTGAAGATTTTCAGCTACATAGCCAGAGAAGGAGACGGCAACGTTTTCCGCTGCAATGTCTTCAAGTCTAAGAGGAAGGTAAGTTATACGGTTTGTTTGGTTCACATCAGGTTATAGACTTTACTGCTTTAAAGCATTTATTATGTTTGAAGCTGACGAGAAACCAGGTTCGATTGAGTCTCAGTGACGGTTAGTCCTGAACCACATCAGGCTCTTCATGTGTGGAATCCTGAGATGTTCCGCTCCACATGTCTGCATTTTCCTTTCGATTAAAACAAAACATCAGCGAGGTCGGCTCCCAGCCTTCACCATGGAGACCGGGCCGACGGCGGCGGGGCTGAATGCTAATCGCTGTGGTGGGAAGAGAGCAGGAAAAGACCTCTTTGGTTCTGCTCCTGAGGACATTTTCACCTGCAGCTCTGTGAGGGACGCAGGCAGGCTTATCTGCTCAGTGCAGACTGGATCATCTGATACAGGAGATTTGATTTGTTTCATCGCAGCGTGTGGAGGACTCAGATGTCGCTCATCGATGAAGCCTTTTGTTCCAGAAGGTTGTCAGAAGCAAAGCGGCTCCCTCTCCGCTCTGCCTCGAGGAAAACATCCATTTTCTGCGCCACGTTTCTGGTTTTTGTTGTTTCTGCGTTGATGTTTGAAGCTTGAGCCACCATGACGAGCTGACTGACAGGAGGGAGGAGGAGCCTCCAGAGGCGGCGTGGAAAACATCTTTACAGAGACGGAGAAATGAGACGGAGGATAAAACCTCCTGCCTTCTGATGTGGAGATACAGATTCTGGAAGTCCTGTTTGAGTTTCCTGACCTGTGCTCAGACCAAACATTCAAAGATCCCCACTTCTGAAGAGAAACTAAACACTGAATATTACAACTAGGGCTGCAACTATGAGTGTTTTGATCGTCGACTAATCAGTGTTTATTTTATCAATGCATCAATTAGTCAATGATTATTTTTGTGCACCTCCTCTTCAGCTACAGTACATACAGCGGGTAAAATAAGTATTGAACACGTCACCATTTTTCTCAGTAAACATATTACTAGAGGTGCTAATGACATGAAATTTTCACCAGA